GGGGGGGGAAAACAACAACCAATCACATTCAACAACACTTACCACGGACAGACAACAAACATTTCTCTATGTACAGAATTCTTCTTTTTTTTATCACATGAAGCATGTTATTGTGTGCAGACTAAATAACATAACTTGTAGGAGGTACACGGAGTATATATATCACACAGGTCTACAGAGGCAAAGAGCAATAGACAAAACACAACATCACGACGGAAAGCCAAAAATAGAAAGAAACGACAACAGAAAGAACGAAAGAAATATACTCAAATGAAGTAAAAACTGCTGGCTGAAAAAAAAAAAAAAAAAAAAACCAACTTCCCATCGGCAGTGGATGATCGACCGCATAAAAAAAATAGAGAGGTTGAGAAGACATCATCAGGGTGTGTCACTACACATCTGCTACGAACACGCGCGCTGTTGGGTGAGAAGAGATCAGGATACCTACAGATCTCAAGAACACTGGGTCAGACAGAAGATGGACGCTTCAGAAGGAAACAAACAGCAACAGCGTAGCGTGTTTCCACAAAACAAAGACAGACATCACTGCCACCCAAAAATTCTGACAACCGTGTGAAACGGGAGAGACAATTTCTGTGAAGGGGACAAACAGACCTCAAGCAATGATCTCAACCTACAAATTAGCCTCATTTCCCATCTGTGTGAATCCAAACAGCATCATTTACACGAGAGGAGAGGGAGAGGCGATGTCCATAATGTGATGAAAGAACGGGGGAGAGATATACGAATCTCAACATAACATCTCACCCTTTGACGCCATCAACAGAAAGAAAACAAAGAGATCAAACAGAGAATACATGACGATGCTTTCAAATCGCAGCTGCCTATAAGTCAATGTGAAACAAGACACCCAACAACATAAGAGACAAACAGTTTATCCAAACAAAACTGGAAAAAATTATTTTGTTTTAAAATTAAAAAAAGAAGGGAAAAACCATCGGGGGGCATTGACGTAGAACCAAGTTCAGGACGCCTCTGGCTTGCCCAACTCAGAAGCAGAAGACACGTCTGTATCTTCAACAGACACTCGCTCATGGCAAACGAGCCTCACCCTTCACCGATAACCAAAAAAAGTAATAATCCAACACTCTTTTAAAAGAGTGAAACAAAGACGATGAGGACTTCTTCCTAAAAAGAGACAGCATCCAATAAAAGATGAAAACATCATCTCTGATGAGAAGGCCATTCCTTACACCATGAGAAACAAAAACAGTTCAACACCGTATCAAATTTCCCGAATTCTGGAAATATTTTTTTGAAAGTGGCATCCATTCATCTGGAAAATCAGAATCAAAATCACCCCCCCCCCCTCTTTTCAAACTCTTTCCAGGCATCTATGAAGAGACCAGGGTGAGGAATATATGATAATAGAGCGTGTGTGGCTAGCTAAGCCAACAAATGGAGGGTGGTAAACTTCACATACCAGACAGAGAGCTTACAAATACAAGGCCACTGTTTCGGCCTCGGTTTTTGCCTCAGAACCCAATCTGGCTTGCACAAATCGACAAATGGAATGGCAGTACAACGCGTGCGCGGATAGATCATCCTATCCAAAAAGAACATCACAAAACAAATTATTGTTTCAGTCAGTCAGATGCCCGTTAAGCTATGAGGAGGAGAAAAAAGTGCCAGCTAACGCAGTGAGAGATTTCAGAAGGAACAAGTAAAGCCGTTCTACACACAGCAGATAGCCTTTGTGCACTACTGATGCTACCTATCTCTCCCAGAGAGCAGATCATTATTATAATCCGTCCACATCGAACTATGAACCAAACGGTTACAATTCAGAAACAACTGTTGTCTTGAAGATCCTACAATCAATGAAAGTGACACTTTCGCTTTTAAAAAAGGATGTTTTCAACCCCCTTCAACAGATAACCAGGTCTAGAAATCCTCACGGTATGTATGATAGAGATCAACTACGTATGCACTCAGGAAGTTTTTTTGTAAAACACAGTTCTGAGTTGAACCAAAGTACTCTACTCATGATTTCTACCAATTGTATTGTTCATCCCCCATGTCCTACAAGAGGGGGGAAAAAAAAAACCCAACAGAAAATCAAGGCAGTCGTTTCGTTTCCTCACTCGTCAAAAGCTTTGCGTTTTCTGGATCCGTTGTTGGTGTCGGAGCCCGCGTCCTTGGTAGAAGACGACGACGCGGGGGCGGTCCGGCTGCTATTTTTGTTAGCGGCCAGGTTGCGGGGCACCAGGAACACGTTGCCGTCGCTCGACTGCTGCAGGGAGTAGAGGTTGGGGTCGTATGGCTCTCCGCGCTCGTCCCGCAGCGACTGGAAAATGTGCGTGTACAGCTGGCCAAACTTGTCGCGCATGCGCCGCGTCTCCCGCTCCATCTGGGCGCGCTCCGCCACCAGCCGGTCCCGCACCTTCTGCAGGTCCAGCATCTCGTCGGCCAGCGTCACGATGACCCCGACCTTGCGCTTGCGGCAGTTCTGTGCCGCCACCTTGTTCTTGCCCCGGCGACGGATGTCTCGGATCAGGTTCAGCTGTCAGGTCAAAGAGAGAGAGGAGGAAACGACGTATCAAACACAGCGTTCAAACTACAAATGATTTTTCAACAGGTGCAACATTAACAAATCCACATTTCCACATTCCACCAAAAAAAAGAGTTGTTTTAAAGTTTTAGCAGGAGTTTTACAGCACTTGAAACGCAATAAGGTCATATAAGTGCCGAAGATTATAGCTGTTACAAGAGAGTAACAAACAAAAAAAAGAAGGAGAGGAGATAGAGACGACAGATTTTTTTAAGGAAAGAAGAAGCAAACCACACCCAGAGCCCCCGCCCACCACTCACAGCGTTCTAATGAAATATTGCTTTTGAAGAAGTATAAATAGCATCGACAAATTCAACAAAAAACTGCTGGTGTCACAGATAATGTCCAGGTTCTGTATTATTTCTACTTCCTTTTGTACAAGCTTTCATTTCTGCAACTACAGATCAGTGCTTTCAAAGTTTTTTAAAGTTATTTTTTTTAGTAAGTGTTTTACGGCACTTGCAACACAATAAGGTCATATAAGTGTCGAAGATTAGAGGTGTTACAAGAGAGTAACAAACACAAAAAAGAAGGAGGCGAGAAAAAGACAATAGATGTTTGATAGGAAAGAAGAAGCAAACCACACCAGAGCACCCGCCAACCACCCACTGCTTTCAAAGTGATTTACGTCAAAACAAGTCGTTCGTACAAACTAGAAGTAGTAAGCTCAGGACTTTCTGGATCGACGACAACGACACCTGGAACGACAACAACAACATAACAGGACTTTCCACAAAACAAAACCAAACCCTCACCTGAGCCTCGGAGAGCTTGTGTTTGGTGAGCATCTCGTTGAAGGTGTCCACGGGCCACTCGATGATGTCATCCACGGTGAAAGGAACCTTCATCTCTGTCGCCCGGCGCTGGTCGCGGCTCTGGGGGCCCTTGCGAGCAGGCTCCTTCTGGGCATATTTCTTCACCTACGAGAGGGGCAAAGATCACAAACGTTAATCACAATTCATCTATTCCATTTGAAATGGAATTCCATCTAAAGTCAACGGTCGTACAACTACATGTTAGAAATCAGACAGTATGTCTAGTGCTTTTGTCTTATATATGTATTTTTATATAGTAGAGGGTTTTACGGCGCTCGCAACTGCATAAGGTCATATGAGCGCCAAGGGGTGGGTGTCAACAGAGAAGTCTTTACATGTAATCAGACTTACTCTGCTCACCTCTCTAGCTTCAACAGCACAAGGTCTGCTTCGACTATCAAGGCACCCCGGAAATAGCAGGTCACAAGAGTATGACAAACATACAAAAGTAGAGGAAATGACAATAGTAAGGATTAAGAAAGAAAACGCAGCAGTTCCCTGTTGTAGATCAGGCACAGTTATGAGCGTGACATGAATCAGCCCATTTACAATTCTACTATGCTTGAACGAGAAATGTCCCCCCCTTTGGGAATGGCCTAAAGACACTTCAGTGAGTGGCACTGCCCCGGGGAGTGCTTTTGTCTTACAGCACAATTATCATTGTACAGTTACGAGATCATCACAACAGTTTTGGGGTTCCCAGCATTAGCACTGACAGAAGCCAACCGTAATTTTATCGCTGGAAGAGATCCTTCAAGTTTTTCTGCTGATTCCATAGCCGAGGATAACGGGATTTTTCTTTTGTTTTTTTAATGCTGTTAATACCAAGCAACCAAGAGCTCGGAAAAGTATGTGTGTGCATGTACTCACCTCTCTCGGCAGTTGCCCCGGCGACGTGTTGTAGGTGAGTTTGTGTGTATGTACGAGTGCATGTACGTGTGTACTCACCTCTCTAGGCAGTTGTCCCAGCGGGGTGTTGTAGGCGTGGTTGTGGATCAGTGTGTGTGTGTGTGTGTATATATATATTTTTTTTTTTATATATGTATGTGTGTGTGTGAATGTGAGAGTGTGTATATATATATATCTATAATGTACTCACCTCTCTGGGCAGTTGCCCCGGCGGGGTGTTGTAGGTGTGGTTGTGAGCCACCTGGTGCTGGGCCAAGGCCCGTGACCCGTTGGGATCGTGCTCCGTGTCGTTAGAGGCCGCCGAGCTGTTGCCGTGGTGACTGCTGGCAGGGCTGCCTGCGACAGACGAGGACGAGGAAGGCGTCGACGAAGACGAGGAGAAGCCTCCCTGGTAGGCGAAGCCCGAGTCGTTGGAGGACTCGGAGAGACGCGACACCTTGCTGTAGGGGCCGCTGAGGTCCTCATGCTGGCCGCTCAGCTCGCTGCCACCCGTGGCTCCCTCAAGGCCATCAAATGCGTCACTGAATTCCTGTAGCGGGGAAGAGAAAAAAGATGAAAAAAGTTTATTCATTTGGACAAATGTGTTGGTTTGTTCGATTGTTTGAGTACCCTACAGAGAAATTCCTGTTGTAAGGAAGAGAAAAAAGATGAAGAAGTTTATTCATTTGGACAAATTTATTTGTTTGCTGGAGAAAACAGAAATTCCTGTTGTACGGACAGAAAAAGGGAGAAAAGTTCATTCATTTGGACAAATTTGTTGGTTTTGTTTATTTGAGTAAAAAGAAGCACACAAACACAATGGTCATTTCCTGATGGGGAAAAGTAAGACAGACAGACAGACAGACAGACAGACAGACAGACAGACAGACAGACAGACAGAAACGACAGAGGGAAATGGTAAGGTAAGGAGCTGGAAAAGTAAAAAGTACGACCTACTAGTTGTGCAATCCAACCACTAGCATTTATCTAAACAGAGTAAAGAAAAATCAGGGACAAAAAGAGACACAGCCCAATATTATTTGAGCCACCCTTAAACCCACATGTGAGGCAGCGTGGTGGAATCACGCTCTCGTCAAAATAATCAAAGTGAAGAAACTTGCATTTTTCCGCAGGTTTGTGAATTTTTATCAAATTTTTATTTTTTGTCTCAACACCTTTCATGCCCATTAAATTAAGAACTCATTTCTGTGTTGATTTTTCTGAAAAGCGTTGATTAAAGGCACAAAAATGTACATTTTCGGTTACCACGGACTCTTAAGCTAAGGAAATAACTAATCTTGGGCGGCCATTTTCTAACTAATTTTACTTCTGAAAACAGGTGACCCCCACCTCCTTCTTTCGTAAATATCTCGACTTGTATTCAAGATAAATGGATATTTTTTTTCGTCCAAAACAAAAGACAAGTGAATAAGCTTTAAGATGATACCAATAACTCTACATGCCCAAAAATTGACGAGAGCCTGATTCCACCACGCTGCCTCACATATCATACCCACCTCCCACCCCCTCTGAAAATAGCTCTCTATCATTGAAAAAGAATGTACTTCACTAAGTTACAGATTTTTTCATGATACATATACACTATAAAACAAGCAGGAGAATTGAAAGAGTAATTACATTACAAATTACAAAAAGCCTAATTTCCAGACACTGTTTTCTCAAAACAATGACACCGGTACAAACACAACGAACTTGCCGACTTCCCAGATCGACAGGTGTTAGATACAAGTGTTCAAGCAGCACTCGAGGACCAATCGAATACTTTTTGTTTGTTTCAGAAACAGTCTTACTGCACTTACACAACACAATTAGGTCGTATGAGTGCCAAAATAAGGAATGAAGAAAGGAGCTACAAGAGAGGAACAAACACACAAAAAAGAGGAGGAGAGATAAAGATGATTGAAGTTTGACAGAAAAGAAAAAGTAAACCACACCAGAGCACCCGTCAACCACCCGCCAATTGACCGCACAAAAGCTGTTTTGTTTGTTTGTTCGTAGGAGTAAAGAGAAGCACATCGACACAATAACGGTCATGGGGGAAAAAAGTTACAACAGTCCAACAGAAACAACAGACAGAAAGTAAAGAAGTAGGAGGACCTACCAGAGGTGCCCCCAAACCTCCCCACTGCAAACCCAAACAAACAAACACACCCTCCAACCACCCACTCAAAAACTGCAAACCCAAACAAACGAAGACACAAACAAACAAACAAATAAAGACACCAACAAGCGAACACACAAACCCACGCACAAACGCACGCACATTCAATGACCTGTGAGAACCAGGCAATCTGAAAGACCTGCGACCACACACACAAACAAACAAACAAACACATGCACATTCAATGACCTGTGAGAACCAGGCAATCTGAAAGACCTGCGACCACACACACAAACAAACAAACACACAAACACACGCACATTCAATGACCTGCGACCACACACACAAACAAACACACACACAAACAAACAAATAAAGACACCAACAAACACACACACACATTCAATGACCTGTGACCACACACACAAACAAACAAACACACAAACACACGCACATTCAATGACCTGTGAGAACCGGGCTATCTGAAAGACCTGCGACCACATCTCCAGGGTCAGCTCTCCCTCCGCCAGACCAAACATGGCGCAGAAGACAGCAGCTCATCCGAGCACACCCTCCACACGCCCACCAGCATGGGCCACCCACGGGTACACACACACACACGCACCGAGTCCTCCTCCCACTAGATCTACACAGTCCGCGCTCGATTCTCGCAGACACTCTCACAAAACGACTGACGACACGACGTCCTGGCAAAAACAGCACCTGGATATGGACGGCTGGTGCCTCTATAAATGAATTATTGGTGGTCTACACGACGTCCCAACTGCACTGGACACCCGGGCGAGATACGAGCCACAGCAGAAAGCAGAATCCTCTACCCCAAAGTGGCCTCCTCAGAAGAGTCCGAAGAGTGTTCTTTCTCTTGGTGTTATTTCTACAGTCAGTTGCTCGAAGAGTTCGTTCCCAATATTTGAGCCACATTCACCAACTAAAAAGTTTCTCAGGTTCACTCAGGGTCGCAACACAACTAATCGGCCCCCAAAAAAATTAAAATTAATAAATCCTCAATGTATTTTGCTTGTTTTTGTTTTTGTCCAGCAGCTTCCGGTAAATCTGCAGTTATTTCCCCTCACCAACGACTGACTTCAGCTATACGTCCAACAGTGACGGAGGAAAGACTCCATTGTCGTCACCGACACATTCAGCTCAGACTCGGACGTTCTCCGCCGATCATTACACCAGAATATTGCTGGACAAACAACGAGTTACAGTTAACACGGGTGGCAGAAACACTCAGAATCAAGTACCCACACAAAAAATTAAGTAGAGAAACTCACAAAAGTCAAATAACTGAGGTACCTCTCTCTCTCTCTCTCTCTCTGCCTTCAACTAAACATCAAATCAAGTTCTATCTGAACACCAAACTCTCGAGACAAAAACACACAAGTTTCTGACCAAAAACAGAACTTGGCATTTGACTAAATCGTCAGAGCTGATCTCGTCAAAGAACCTAACAAGATTCCGTGACCTCTACAGAACTCAATCGGGACCCACTTCCGTTTCAAAACAAAAATCAAGACGTTGCAAGCCACAATCTAGATCAGATGGCACAGATTCCCCCCAATCACAAAAACCGCACCGCGACAAAAATCACCAAAGTATCCAAAACAGCTGTGCTGGAGAAATAAATCTTATGTCCAACTCAGGGTAATAATTATTATACCCGTACTGAACACGACAGAGGCACACGGCCACAACCAGAACGAGAAAACTCTTCTTTCCTCTATCACGCCTTATATCTTGGTCTATAGATTACGTTCGCTGTTTTAATAGCAGTCAGTCTAATCCTATATCTCTCTCTGTCTCTCTCTATCTATCTCTCTCTCTCTCTCTCTTTCTGTGTCTCTCTCCGCCCTTCTCCACGAGCCGCCGCTTCACGACTGTGCGGCAACGACCTGTCATCAGCCGACACAGACACGCACAGAGAGACAGCCCAGAGACCGTCCCCAGGGGCAAAAGCCAAACTTTGGTACAACTTTACCCTACAAGGAGGTCATGAAAGAAAGGCGGAAAATGACTCGGCGAAAACAACCTCTCACGGTACGCGCGTGCAGGGCAGGCAGGCAG